AAATTCCCCCCCCCCCCCCAGCAGGAATAGGGTTAAGACTAAACCCGCAATTACACGATTTTGAATGATTTAGATCCTGATAGCAGCGGGATACAGTGGTGTGAAGGTAGAATTAGATAAAGGTTTCGAGCTGGGTGAATCTGATCTAACTCCAGAATTCAAGAAGAAATTTCCGTTGGGAAAGGTCCCTGCTGTTGAACTAAGGTATTAAATTCTAATAAATTATTAATTTTACACCGATGACTGCATTAGAATTTAGACTCTTAGCAAAATTTGTATATGTAAACAACGTTTCTAAATAAAGTATGCATTCTAAAAGGACTAGAAAATAATCGTTTGAGGAAATTGTTCATTAAGCGTTAAAAAAATAACTAATCTTTGATTTTGGAAATAATTTAAAGGTTTTGGTATAGTTATTGAAATGAAAAATAATTTTTTAGATAAGTCTAATGTTTGTCAATATAGAAACATTCTTTGACACTGATAATGTAATCTCAAAACGGGATAGCAAGGGGAAGGAGGAGGAGGATTTGGATGTAAAAAGTGGTTAAATTGTGGAATAGTTGAACCGATATTTAAGCATTCTTATTGTTATTTATGTTATTATAAAGCAATAAGTTTACCAGGACCTTCAAATTGTAATTGCTATGTTTCATGTTCATTGGATTGAAATCTGAACTTGTGTCTATCAGTCGTCTTAACAGTTCCACATTTTATATGTCCCACTGTAGTACGAACACATTATTTAAATTTAAAGGTTAATATTACTTGTAGTGATGGTAAGCTGTTAAGTGAGAGCAACAGTACAGCTTACTTTTTAGCTTCATCTCAACTCAAAGGGGGAGATGATTCTTTACTACAATCACAGGTACACAGAGTACATAGACAGGTTCATACAGTACATAACAATACATTGTACAGCTTGCTATCTAGCTTTACCCTAACTTAAAGGAGGATATGATCTTTTTCCTACAATCACAGGCAGTACATAACAGTACATTGTACAGCTAGCTATCTAGCTTCCCCTCAACTCAAGGGGGGGATGATTCTTTTCTACAATCACAGGTACAAGTTCATAGAAAAGTTCATTTTATACAGTGCATAACAGAGCAGCTTTCTATTTAGCTTCACATCACATGTACATCAAGTACAGGTACATAAATTACGTAGACAGTAGGATTTAGGTTTATACAGTACAAAGAAAGTATGATTCAGGTTCATTGAGTGCATAGACAGTACGATCCAGGTTCATAGAGAACATTGACAGATTCATTCAGTATAAACAGTACAGCTTATTATATCTCTTCACCTCAACTGAAGAGGGGATATGATCCTTATTGTGATATTCAGCCAAAAGCTGGTTTGTTCAATAAAGTCTATCTTTGTGCTCGAATGGGCATAACCAATGCACCCTGAAAATATAATTTTAATGTAATGCTTTAAATGGCAAAGCTTTCTTTCCTCTTTATCACTCGGATTAACGAACTCTGTCAGTTTAGAATTTATAACTGAAATATCTATCTATAAATTTGGCTTGTCTGTCTGTTTGTTTGTTTGTTTGTTTGTATCCAATAAACGTCAAAACGGCTGAACCGATCGGGCCCAAATTTTTTGTGGGACATCACATGACCACAGGGAAGGTTTATGAATGATCAAAATTTCAAATATTTGTGTTGAAAAGTTTTTTATTTTTATAAAAATGCACGAAAAAATATTATGAAATCAGCAAACTTTTTTGTTTTTGTTTTATACTGTACAAAGAGAAGATGCTCAGAGATAAAGCCAAAATTAAAAGTTGAAATAGAAGATGGGCGCAAAGCGCCCTAAAAGCCTAGTTTATATAAAATATGAACATTGTACCAAAGAGGTAAAAAAATATAATTATCTTGAAATATTTTGAAGATCAATAATCTTTCATTAAGTATAAAATTTAAAAACTTGCATTACGGTGGATATTAATTTACAAGAGAGCATATTATAGTTCACAGTTCTCAGTTTAATGCTTGTATACTCAGCAATCGATCAAAAATTTCTAAATAGATATTGATTAATTGATTGCAAACATATTCATATTTTACAAATATTTTTGATTATTTATTTCAACATCTTCAGAAATAATAATTTAATCACATGTAGAACCATTTTATATAACTTTTTTGACTTATATGTAGAAAGTTTAATTTTCAGCCCTTAATAGTTTGTTATAGAATCTCAATTTCAGGTGCTCTCCTGGATGTTCACTGCTGAGACAGAGTTGACCCCTGCCGTCTGTAGCTGGATCTTCCCGCTCATGGGGATCCTTCCTTCTTCACCCCAGCAGGTTAGATATAGTGCTCAATATCCAGGTTAGATATAGTGATCAATTTCCAGGTTAGATATAGTGCTCATTATCCAGATTAGATATAGTGATCAGTATCCAGGTTAGATTTAGTGCTCAATATCCAGATTAGATATAGTGCTCAATATCCAGGTTAGATATAGTGATCAGTATCCAGGTTAGATTTAGTGCTCAATATCCAGGTTAGATATAGTGCTCATTATCCAGATTAGATATAGTGATCAGTATCCAGATTAGATATAGTGATCAATATCCAGGTTAGATTTAGTGCTCAATATCCAGGTTAGATATAGTGATCAGTATCCAGGTTAGATATAGTGCTCAATATCCAGGTTAGATATAGTGCTCATTATCCAGATTAGATATAGTGATCAGTATCCAGGTTAGAATTAGTGCTCAATATCCAGATTAGATGTAGTGCTCATTATCCAGATTCGATATAGTTCTCAATATCCAAGTTGATCCGGATCCTAGATCCAATCTGAAAAAATATTAATCCGCATCTTGCTCATAAATAGTTTCTTAATCTCGTGTTACCAAACCCAAATTTCCCCTTTCCAAAATTATTTGGCTATTTTGATACCTGATTTTCCAGTCATTGATGAGAAAAGTTTAATGATATCGCATTTGTTGCACTAAAATGTGTATATATGTATTGGCAGCAAGCATTTTTTGTGTGTTTTGGTTTTGGTCGAAATTTTTCCTAGTAGACCTCTTCATTTTCGTAAACCAGGGAACTCGAACGTAGCGGATTCGGATCCTGAACCTGAATAATATTTTAAATAATCAAGTTTACATCCATTCTTTTTACATCCATTCCCTAATTAAGGTTGCTAATCTTTAAATAATTAAAGAATTTCATAAGAAATTATATAAGAAAATCTCATTTTATTAATTCCTTAAATTAAAACGTGTGGAAAGTGGACTTACCGAACAACTAATAGCTAACTAACGAACAAATTAGTTAACTAGTGAACATCTAGGTAACTAGCGATCAAAACAAACCAGCTACGGAGCGTCCCATATCATATTTGATTATCTCCAATCTTTAACGCCAAAATACGCACATAATACTAGAAAAATCTAGCACTTTCTGCAAAAAGAAAATTCTATTAGCCTTATTAAATTTTTTTAAATGATTCATTCTTTTTAAATTTTCTGATTTGTCACCCAAATCGTAATTTAGACCCATTGACGCGGTCTAATTTGATGTGGGACACCCTGTAGCTAAGCAACGCAGAAAAACTGATAACAAATGTCGATGAAGTAAACATGTTGCAAGATTTGAGAAAATATTTTTATACTGACTGGTAAAGTTAGTTTTAAAAAACAAAAACTGTACCTTGATATGAGACCCACTTTGAGGTCGTGTCGTTTAAAACCGTTGTAGCGTAATTTTCCAAAAAATAATAACATTAAAGACCCCTCCCCCCCTTGAGGTAGATTCATAGTTTCAATCATGTATTGATTATTATTCCAGGCTAGAGGAGAGAAGGATACTCTTAAATTTGTGGAAATGCTCAACCAGCATCTTAAATCCAAGGTACTTCAATGTAACGTGTGATTGAACAAGGACAAGGGGGCGGGGGTGTTGAAGCTGTTATGGAGCGAAATAGTTTTTTCTTAGTTCCTTAGTTCTACCCCAAACGTTTGAATCTAGCGATTCGGACTTTTTTACTTAGTTTTTCTGTTGTTCCTCATTAATATACTATTTACTTTCATCCGTTTTGATTTCTGGTGAAATTTGTTTAACATTATAGATTTTCCAATTATCTTTAAGAATCTAGTCTATATACTGCGCGCGGGGTTAAATTTTTGATTTGTGATATTTCATTGACTCTTAATAAAATTAAATGTTTACAAGATATTTTAAATGGTTTAGTCATTTCCGCAATTCTTTTTAAATAAATTTAATTGTTTTTCAAGACCTGGATGGTTGGTGAGAGGTTGACTCTAGCGGATATATGCTTGGCGGCCATTTTCTTTATCGTAGCTAAACATAGGAAACAATTTTACAACGCAAGTTTTTTTTATTTTTGTTAAACTTTCAAAATTGAGTGAAAATAATATGTTAATAATCAAAAATTAAATTTGGAATTGATTTTGAACGCAGAACGTTTGCGCAGAAATCGCCTCATTTCCATCGTTGGTAAGTTGTAATACTCAGGGGTCCATATAATTCCCAAAATAGCTGATTTTCTCGATCCCAAAATAATTTTTTGCCCCCAACTTAAAAAAGAAATGCCCCCAATTTCAAATTCCACTAACACATTTGCCCCCATTTGTCCCCAATTATTAAAAAAAAATGCCCCCAAATACAAAAATTCCCCCAATTAAAAAACATTTTCAAATTCCACTAACACATTTGCCTCCAATTTAAAAAAAATGCCCCCAATTTTTTAAATTTGCTCCCATTTCTTCCAAATTTGTCAATCCCAAATGGGATTGAAAAAGGAATTATATGGACTAATACTCACTTTTCATTTGAATTATCAAGTCCTTTTAGTTTTCCTACTTAATCCTTCCAAATTGAGAATTAAGAGGTTTGGGATTTTATTGATTTATTTTCTCATTTTTCACTAATTTAGAGAAAAAATGTGAGAAAAAGTTGTTAATTTCATATATTTGTTCAGGTATACAACGGTCACCGGGCAAAAGATAGTGAAAGAGGTCTTAACCAAATATCCAGGAAAAATAATGTTTATCAAAGTTTTGTATTTTGCCCTTAATGGGATATTAAATGCAATGTTTAGTTAATTTTTTGATAAGACAAGGCTTCTTTTAGCTTGTCCCATTTTCAAGACAATTTTAGTTCTTTTTTTTGCTTTTTTGTTGTTGTTTTAAAAGCCCAAATAAAATAAAATATTTAAGCTGGATAAAATATTTATTTGTTTGAAGGTCTGGAAGTATGTCATGAGAAGGATGTCAGCAAGGGTGCTGGTCAGTCAAGCAGACTTCGTAGCTTTGTGTTTATTTTAAATCCTAGCTTGCTTGACCCTGTATTCTGTAGCTTGATAGACTTGTTTATTTTTGATTTTTTGACATTTTTTACCTTTTCAACCTTATCAACCTTTGTGGTAAGATGACCTATAATGTATCATCTAAATACTAGCGCGCCGATCAGAACGCTCCAATGTCTGTTTTGACAACAGAAATGAATTCCTCGTTCAACTTACCTGTAGTTTGGTGTATCGCATGCTACTTTTGTTTTGAATAATGCCATATTAAAAAATGTAAGAATCGCTAATATTTTCTAAAATGCGCGCGCGATCAGGGAATTAAGCTTTTTTGCACAAAAATATTAAGGCATTACATGTTTGAAAGCCTCTTGATGCAAATTCAAGTTCTTATCATGATATCAAGATTGCAATGCGAAAAAGTAACATTTTCCACCAAAAAGCGCGCGCGCATTTTTGCTCGGATATTTATGAAACTGTATTTTGCAGTTACAATACATAATTATGAGTTCAAAAAATCAGCGTCCTACGACAATTCTAAGCCTTCTTTAAACACTGTTTAATTTTTTCGGAGAGTAATTCGTTTGGTGCCCCGCCCCCCTTCTATCAGTGTGTATCCGTTTTTATAAAAGTTCATCCTAAAAAAAATTAAGTATTTATTATTTTGCTATGTGCTTTAATTTTTTCTTTCAAGATTTTTTTATAACTGCAATACAATGACAATGCAGTACGTATTTAGATTTTGTATTAGTATTATTGTATTTAGATCTGTTTGTTTTGTTAAGCTTTACATTTAGTTTTTTTAAATATGTTGTTCGCAAAAATACTTGGTTCTATGGATTTGAATCCAGGTGGCAATTTATTGAATATATATTATCTATTGTGCATATGTATTACCAAAAATTACGAAATTAAATTTTGTTTTTTAATGATAAGTTAGTACAACCCTAATTTCTCAATGGTCTCTGAAGTTTTAGCAAAAAAAACTCGAAAATATTTTGAAAATTTTGGAATTTTATTTTTTAGCCGGACCCGGATTTATTTTTTAAATAAGGGCAAAACGTTTAACAGCATTCATCTTAGCTTTTGCGATAGCACTAAATATCCTCTGTACAAACTTTTAAATTGAAAATTAAAAGCCTTAAGTTAGAGAATAGTTTTCTTCCATCAGAGGTGTTTATTTTATTTTAAAACCATTCCCCCAACCCACCCTTTTGAAAATCATTGTTATTCCTTAGAAGTTATTTGCTTGATTGGGTAAAATAAATCATTTTTAGGGCGAATAAATACACTTTTGGGTGAAAAGTAGGATAAAGGACGAAAAAATTGTCTCCAATCTTAATTTTTTTCTCCAGACTTCAAAAATCCTTTCGCCTAAAAATATACACCCCCACCATCCAAAGCACCAAAAAGGTACCCATCGTCCTGAGTTTTAACCTTATCGAAGGGGAAATAATATGTTTGAGCGCTGAAGTTACAGGTTTTAGATACAACGTTTTCCCTCAAAACAGCATCGTCATGGCTTGAAAACAATGTACTGCCTGAGTTATATTTTGTGACTGACTTCGTTAGTATTGTTTTTAATAAGAATAATCTTATCTAAAGTTAATCCTTGAATATATTGCAGAGGTGCTTGAGGTTAAAAGTATGGCTGAGTCTGGAGAACAGAAGGATCTTGTGGAGAAGATGGATTCCGTCAAGGTTGGAATTAATTATTTCAGATTTCGCCATTTTATTTTTATTTGGAAACTTATTCATGAAACTTAAGACCCTTTTTGTTCTAATTATTGGGGTCAAGCACTAATCTCTCGACTAGTACAGACCAAAAAGTTAATTTAATTCCTATTCCGATATCCCGCGGTGGTTATACCCTGCAGGGATATCTTCAATTAAGGAATATATGAGGTGCCCAACTTTGATATCGAGATCATGTGTTTAAGATGAAGGATACTCTATAGTTCCAACCTCAGACCACGTCTGTGTTGCAAACTGAAGTGGCAATTTTAAGTGGCCTTCCATTAATAGAGTTGCATGTGCAATTTAAATCTTTAAACCTTAATCCAAGCAAAGATGATTTTAAGTGGCCTTCCATCAATGGAGTTGCATGTGCAATTTAACTCTTTCAACCTTAATCCAAGCAAAGATGATTTGCGGATTTATGCAATTGAGGAAAAGAAGGAAATGTCCGAATTCTTTTTAAGACAAATTGACGATAATAGCTTGGAAATCAGAATTGTTTAAGTAAAGGATCACTTGTATTTTAATATTTAATGTTCAAAGCTACGACCTGAGCCGTATTAAGAGAATTTTAAGCACATCGCTGAACCGCCAAAAACCGGTTCTAATTGAGCGCCGGCTCAAATCTCGAAACTCTTAACACAATTTCAAGTGGACCAACCATTTTTGAGCCGCGTCTCAAATTCTTTAGATTCAGCCTCTGACTTGATATTTTTTTTTACCGAAGTAACAGGTTTATGAAAAAGATTTAATTCTTTTTAACCAATTTTTTCTAGATTTTTTATTTAACAAATTTATTGATACAGGTATTTAATGCAGAATGTAGATGATCATTTTTCAAATCGTCTCGTTTTCCCGTTGTCCTGTTTTGCTGCGTTCAATTAGCTGCATACCCCCCCCCCCCTTTCCCAGGATGGTTAATACGCAGTTTCGATAGCTGACCAGGCAATTTGTAGTCTTCAAATATCAGCTCTTGTGTTTCTTCATTTATTCCAGATGTGTTTGATTTCCACTGAATCTGTGTATAGTCAAATAAACTCGAAATTCGCCATCCATGAAGGACGCAGGTTTATTGCTGACATTGTTGTAATGAGAACTTCCTTATTAGATTTAATTCTAGAAAAACGTTAAACATATCTTAAAAGCCTGTGCCGGATACAAGGCTCAGTAGCAGCTTTATGGCACAATTTGTTCTTAAAATTTTTCTTTAAGACTCAAAATATTTATGGATGGATGGATGGAATTATTTTTCAACAAAAATTAACAAATTTTAAAATTTTCTGATGTCTAGATAGAGGATGGAGTGTATACTAGTGAAGTGAGGGGAAGTGATGAGTCTGGGGAAGGAACATACAAAGTTCCATTCAAAACTGTCATGAAGGTAGGTAACCTGAGCATATTCAGGGAGGCCCCCCTAAACACTAGGGTTATTAGCGGTTATTCTACCGAGCCACTCTCCCCCTGGAATGTTTAAACAGGGGTTAATATATTCTTGAAAAATAATTTTTCTTCCTTTCCTCCCCCCCCGCCCACTATTTTGAAAAGAATTTTATATTTCAAAAAAGTGCTCTTTGTACGATGTTATTCGCTGAAATAGGGAAAATAAATGATTTCAGGGAAAAAGGAAAATTAAATAAACTTCTGAGTACACGAATTATAAAAAAAAAATTAAAAGTTTACTTTTGATGTCCAATTTTTCATCCCCATTAAATCATTTCAGCTTTTAAATTCTAAAAAATATACACCCCGGATTAAGCAACCCCTCCCCACCAACCCCACAAATTTCTATAAGCGCCTCTGTACTTAACAGTTTCTGAATATTTTAAATCTTGATCAATCATCAAAATTATAAATGGAAGAAAGAGGAAAATATTTCACCAGATATAGAACAATAGATTTTTAAAGTTTATTTAACATTCGTCAATCGATATTATGGATTTTATCATTATTATTATAATTAGTTTTCCCGCAAGAAAGATAACAATATTTCTGTGTGCAGGCAATGTTACATGTTGGCAAGGAACCGTTCCCAATGATCTACGTGGATCCGAAACCTGATTCTGAAGCTGCCAAGGAACACTAGAGATCAATTTTTTAATCTTTAATTAAGATGGACTGTAGAGTAACAATACCCTTTCTTTAAACCTCTACCCGAGCACATTGTGGAAGATATATTTTTAAATTAAAAAAATGAGTATCTTCTGTGATTCTGAAGTATGAATGCGTAAGTCATTCTAAAAAATAACTCTACGGTCTCTTTAATCTCTATTAGGATTGTTCATGTGAACAAGCTAATCTCCATGGACAGGCTGCCATAAATGACTTACAATTTATTACTTTACATCTTGTCTCAAAGCCTTGTATAATTGTTCGTTGTGTGTGAATAACTTGCAAAACATTTTTAGTTTTTCCCCAAAAAAATAAACTTTTTTCTATTATTGATATGAAATTATAGAAATAGATTTGTTATTCTTGAATCTAAAATTTTATTGTTAGAGGAAATGTAAATTATGTGCCATAGTTCCCTTGATTTCTATTTAAACAGTACTCTTGTGAATCCTTCTTGGCAATCTTTTTCAAGTTGACGCGACCTGTATCGTTGAAATCTCTGAATTGACCCTGGTGTTGTTAAACAGTCTGGGGCTAAGTACGAACCAATTGCCAAGGCTCAGCTCAAGAAAATAACTAAGCTATGGCAGCAAGAGGTAAAAAGAGGAAAATGTTCAAGCAATATTAAAGAATAGCATTTTATCTAACTCAATGACGTTTTATACTTAAAACATTTTATACCTCATGTAACATTGAAGGTCTAATAAGATTGATGCATTTTAAAAACTTAATTATTTTAGTCAAAATTTGCTTTTTGCAGAGGGACATCTTGTTGAGCATTAATTAATAGATTATCACATTAAATTTGAAATATTTTGAAATCTTGAATAAATCTCATAAAGCAAAAATTGAAAATTCATGATTGGTTTAAAGTCTGACATAGTTCTAAAGCCGAATATATAGGTTAGGAAGGCGGAAGCTAGAGCCAAGGCGGATAAGGAGGCGGAAGAAGCCAGGCTAAAGAGGGCGGAGGAAGCCAAGAAAATTACAATTAAGTCAGATCCGTCTCTTCCTGAAGCTAAAGCGTAAATATTCTTTTCATCAGAATCCATTTTAATCATAGAAATTTGCAGTTATCCAACTAATCTCTTTCCTGATATTTCTTTTGTAAAATTTTGTAGAAATCGAAAAATTATGTCCAGAAGGTGTTGAATAAAAAACATACCGGTCATTATTCTTGTTTTTCTGTAGAAAATTAATTACTTCAAATATAGATTTTAAAAGGGCGACATCCTGAATATAAACAATAAACATGTATTTTCATCTGTTTTTTGGTATGCAATAATTTTCATTGCATATTAATATTTACAAATACGATTCTACATAATTGAGTTGTATATCGTATAAATTAAAACATAGGTTTTATTGAAGTTAAAAACAAGTAATACAACGCATTTTCCATTTTTTTGGGGTTGATATTTGGTTTTATCAAAAATTTTACAACAATACTAAATCCTAACTTGGTTTAAGTATCATTTAATTTACCTAAACCATGAGAATGAGATGCAATTATCTGGTGCTAAATCAATTGGACTAAAGGTCATTTGCAAAAATGTGATATTTCATCTAAACAGCTCCAGTTTTTAATGTTTAAAAATAAACTATTCAAAATATTTGATTTGTTGGATTAAATTCGATAATGTTAGACTTGAATTATGGATCACTTAAACCCAATAAACATTTAAACAATTGAATAAATTCAAAGTATGTTAATGCTTCTTTATTTAAAAAGGAATCGAACCTTAATTCAAATTGCCAGTAGTCCAATTGATATAGCAACTCAGAAATTGAATGTATTAAATGTATATTCTACAGGATGAAGATCAGAGATTGTAAGGATAACAGGATGAAGAGAGTACAACTTTCAGGATGGGTTCACAGGTAAGAAGATCCAAGGGCAGGGGGGGGGGTTAATTCTTAAAATAGAAAACAGTAAATCTTTAAAGCAGTAAGGGTGACACCTTGGTTGAAGAAGGTCAAATATATAATTTAACTTTAATCTGAGGATGTTGGGGACTAACATTTTTTACTATCCAGGGGGGAGGGTCAGTTCCAGCTTGGAGCTGAGTACCCTTGGGAACCATAGTTTTCTTCTTCTTTGTGGGGGTGGAGAATCAGACCCCCCCACTCCTTGAGAGGGGGGGATTGAAAATCCTTTCTTTTCATTCTAATGTGTTTCAGATTAAGAACCCAAGGAAAGGCTTTAATGTTCCTGACACTGCGGGATGGAACAGATTACATCCAGTGTGTTCTACACGGAGACATGTGTCAAACATACGACGCTGTTATGCTCTCCACAGAGGTAAACTCGTAAGGGATTGTTAATGTAATTTTGAGTTTACCCTTTTTTTTATAAATTGGCGTCATGCCCAATTTACAACGATACCCTGAAATCCTTAGTCTGAGCATAAATTACGCAAATAACCTTGTTTATCTATGAATTTATTTTTATTTAAGAAAATATATTACTATTAACGAGTTTTTTCAAAGTTGGTGAAAAACAATCCATATTTATCTATCAGAATTATATAAATTCCTTATTCTTACGTTTTTTAGGCTTTAAGTCAAGTATGGCTACCATTAGCCATTATTTTGCATTCACTCCCTTTAACTGAATGATGTTTCAGTCCACTGTCCGTATTTTTGGAGTAGTTGAACCCGTGCCTGAGGGAAAAACCGCACCTGGCGGTCATGAGCTTAAAGCTGATTACTGGGAGCTGATTGGTAGCGCTCCTAGCGGTGGCGCAGGTAAACAATGTTTGCAAGATTTAGCAATTCAGTAATTTTTCATTCAAGTACATAACATGAAGAATTTCTTACACGTATTTAGTATTAGTGCAGCTTATGTTAATAACAACATTAAAGATGATAAACTAGTCTCGGTAATCCGACAAACAATCTTTACCAAAACGTTTTCTTTAATAAAAAATAGTTTTAAAACTGTCCTAATTCAAGTACCAAGTAAGAAAACCCCTTCCCCATAATCTTTGTTCAAATATATTTTTTAAATTCTTGTATTTAATTGGTTTGTTTTGATCCAGAGGCCCTTCTGAACACTGAGAGTCATCCTGACGTACAACTTGACAACCGACACATCATGATCAGGGGAGAAAACTCCAGTAAGATACTGAAGATGAGATCTGTCATTACACAGGTACAAGCTGGAGTTCTGATACGTGGGACCCATTAAATTGTGGAATAGGAAGACGACAGTTAGATTTTATTTAGATTTAAGATAGTCCAATGAGCATGGAACAGAGCGATTAGGCAGTGTACACTGTACAGTACACAGGCTCATTTAAGTTTAAAAGGTGGTTTTCAAGCTAACGTAGTTTCTTTTCCAGTAACTGGAGTTGGGTTTTAAGCTATTGGTAAAACTTTTTGCTTCAAGGCAACAACAATTATACATAAGAATGAGTGTATTTTTTCAATTCTATTTTATTGTTCGACTCTTTATTTCAACAGGGGGTAATTTAGGGGGAAATTTGAAACTTAGTAATTGTGTTCTTCCCCCCCCCCCCCCACCACCACACATCTACTGAAAAGTAACCTTTCATTGATCAAATTAAATCAAATCAAGTGGAAATCTGAGAGGGAACCCAATGTGGAACCCCCAGACTGCCTTCAGGGCACTACACACCACCGTCCATATTAGCGACCTGGAGCACAAATAATTAACGGCCGTCCTGTGGTACATTTCGGTGGCTGGCAGTCAAAATTATAAACTGTGTACCCAACAACAGCTACCTATCATAGGATTACTATTCCAGGATAGGCTAAGTCAATATGGATAGCAGTGCTTAGGATCCGGATCCGTTGGATCCGCAAGATTTTGGCTTCCTGGATCTGGATCCGCAAAAATATGCGGATCCACGGATCCGGATCCAAGGGGTAAAATATCAACTAAAAACTGCAAGAACATCTTTTTTACTCCTAAAACCCAACTCTGAACTTTTGAAAAAAAGGAGATTATAAAAATTTCCTCATTTCTGAGTGGTTAATCAAGTTATAAAATAAAAATAAGCGAAAAAAAATAAACAAAAAATTCAGTAAATCTTAAATAAATGACCTGGATCCGGATCCGGATCCACATCAAAATTAAATGGATCCTAAGCGCTGATGGATAGAAAGTCACGGAGATTGATATTTTTCAGAAGGATGAAGGGGGGTGAGACCACAACATTTTTAAAGATTTCACAGAAAAATGTTTCAGGCGTTCCGAGAACATTTCTTTTCTCGTGGATACTTTGAGGTGACTCCGCCCACTCTGGTCCAGTGTCAGGTTGAGGGAGGATCTACTTTATTCCAGTAAGATGCTCATTTTATTAAAGGGACTTTGGACGTTTTTTTTCAAGTGACCCTTTATTTATAGAGCGGCTTGTCCTTTTTATAACGGTACCCTATAAACCTGTGTCCGCCGACGGAGATTTTCTGGGTTTTTTTCACTGAGACTCCGTACGAACTCAACTACTTTCAGCTGTGAAAAAATAAGGGATATTTCTGTCTTCCTTAAATAGACAAAAAAGGATACCGTTTAACACTTTATTTCTGTCTCCTAAAGATTTCTTTAACTTAAAGAAAACACGCCAAAGAAATGTATATACACTTGAGATTCCTTGTTTTGAGCTGTATTCCTGTATTTATAATTTCTTTGAATTAAAATATATCCTAGTATTGTTACGCGTAAATGATAAATGATTCTATTTTTGAGACATTTAANGGTAAAATAATAATAGAACTCCTTAGTCTTTTTGATTTTTAACCGAAATTTTCTCCTTTAATGATACCAATTTTTTTTTTCGTTAAAAAAACTTTACATTCTCCTAATTCAGCGGAAACCCCCATTAAGAAATTGTGTTGCTCTGCGCAATTTCTCCTAATATATTGAGGGAGGATGATCTTTCTAGAAGGGTGGAATCATTTTTAGCAAGAAAAATACTTCGATATTTGATTACTTAATTTCATATTATTTGTCCAGTCTTGATTACTTCGGTGAGGAAGCTTACTTGACCCAGTCCTCCCAGCTCTACCTAGAGACAGTTTGTCCAGCCATGGGAGATGTGTTCTGTATAGGTCAGTCATTTATTTATTTATCTTGAGACAGTTTGTCCAGCTATGGGAGATGTGTTCTGTATAGGTCAGTCATTTATTTATTTATCTTGAGACAGTTTGTCCAGCCATGGGAGATGTGTTCTGTATAGGTCAGTGATTCATTTATTTATCTTGAGACAGTTTGTCCAGATATGGGATATTAAGAAGATTTCTTAATTCTATTTTTTATTGCAGCGCAGTCGTATCGGGCGGAGAAATCCCGAACTCGGCGGCACGTGGCGGAGTATACGCATATGGAGGCGGAGTGTCCCTTTATCAACTTCGACCAACTCCTCGACAAACTCGAGGATCTTGTCTGCGACACTGTCGACAGGTTCATATTTATTCAACTCATTTATTCATCCGAATCGTCTATTCTTCGAAATCATCGATTCATTGAAATAATGTTTTCATCCAAATCATCTGTTCATTTAGCTCATTTATTTATCCACATCATCTTTTTATCCAAATCATCTATTCATCCAAATCCTTAACTCATCCAAATCATTTATTCATCCAAATCATTTACTCATCCAAATCATTTATTCATCCAAATCATTTATTCATCCAAATCATTTGAATTCATCCAAATCATTTATTCATCCAAATCGTCTTTTCATCCAAATCATCTTAATTAACCAAATCATCTATTCTTTAAAATCATCTATTTATCGAAATTATTTATGTATCCATATCATTTACTCGTCTTAATTAGCCAAATCATCTATTCTTTAAAATCATTATTTATCCATATCGTCTATGTATCCGTATCATTTACTCGTCTTAATTAACCAAATCATCTTTTCATCCAAATTGTGTTTTCATTTATTCTTGAAATTCATTCATTCTTATCATCTATGTATCCATATCATTTACTCGTCTAAATTAACCAAATCATCTATTCATCCATATCGTCTATGTATCCGTATCATTTACTCGTCTTAATTAACCAAATCATCTTTTCATCCATATCATGTTTTCATTTATTCTTGCAATTCATTCATTCTTTCATGCAATCCTTTATTTCAAATTTTTAATGATTTCATTCACATCGGTGCGTAGTGCGTACTGCAGTACTCTGACCGAATGAATATTGTTTTCAGTCAAATAGGTTGTCAAGTACAATAGATGGCAACAGAAAAATCGACCAACTGCGCACAACGTCATATGTGTCAAATGAAAAAAGAAAGACGACATGTCCTCTAATTAGTTGGTGTAATTTCCAAGATTCGGTGGAGATAAATGTCGTCTTTGTAGGAATACGTAAAAAATATTTACAACTCAAAATTCATCCATATCGTTTATGTATCCGTATCATTTACTCGTCTTAATTAACCAAATCATCTATTCATCCATATCGTTTATGTATCCGTATCATTTACTCCTCTTAATTAACCAAATCATCTTTTCATCCAAATCATGTTTTCATTTATTCTTGCAATTCATTCATTCTTTCATGCAATCCTTTATTTCAAATTTTTAATGATTCCATACACACCGGTGCGTAGTGCGTACTGCAGATTGCGCACTGCAGTATTCTGACCGAATGAATACTTGTTTTCAGTGAAGAGTGTAAAAAAGCATAGACAAGTTTTACAAATTGTTCGCAATGTCTTGCAAATTAGATTTCTAATTGTGTTAACTGTTGTGCGAAATTGCGCGAAAATATTTTTTTCATAAATGAGTGCAAAAGACGCAACTAACTTTCGGATTCTGCTTAAACTGTAATTTTATTTAATTTGAATTAAAATTTTGGAATTGTAGGGTTCTTAAGCATCCTCTCGGATACATGGTTCATGAGCTCAACCCTAACTTTAAAGCTCCAAAGAGACCTTTCAGAAGGTAATACCAGACTCTCATTATTTTTTAGAATTCGTTGTTCATGGAAAGGAATCCTTCCTGTTCTTTTTTGTCTATTTGTTTTCTTTTTCTCATCTTTAATATTCCCTTTTATGATTAACTTAAAAACTCTTCTTTTCTATTTTCAAATAAGTCTGACTCTATTACTGTTAAATACACCTTAAAAAATAACAGAAAAAAGGTACTATTACTGTTTAATTTTTTTACTAATTCATTGACATGTTTTGTCTTTAAAATTGCCTTCCAATTATAATTGTAATTTTTATGAAATACTTAAGTTGAATAAAACTATTTTTGGAAGAACGCGAGGAAAGGGGCTATGGGTAAATAATTTCTTTTAAAAAATTTGTGTAAATTGCCTGGAGCAAATAAGTTAATTTTGGGTTAAAAAGTAACAAACAAAATTGCTAGTTGATGTAAAAAAATTATCTTTTTAGTTTTCACTAACCAATCCTCGAATCATCCCCCCCTTCTTCCAAATATTTTTCAATACTGTAAATCTTGATCTAGGATGTCATATGAGGACGCTATAGCTTGGCTAAAGGAGAACAATTACAAGAAGGAGGACGGAACCTTTTACGAGATCGGAGAGGACATCCCAGAGGTAGGAATAATTGTTGCACCATCCCAAGGTTGGAAATGTAGGCCCTTAAGAGGTTTTTTTTAAATTCTACTTATTCTGTAGGCCCCGGAGAGGTTTATTAATTTTCTGTTTATTCTGTAATCCCCTGAGAGGTTAATTTCTATTTGTTCTGTAGTCCCCTGAGAGGTTTATAAAATTCTTTTTGTTCTGTAGGCCCCTGAGAGGTTTATTAAGTTCTATTTATTCCTTTCGTCTATGAGTATTTTATTTAATTTTATTTATTCTGTAGGCCATCAAGAGTTTTTTTATTTCTGTTTATTCTTTAGGACCTTTAGAGTTTTATTTAATTCTATTTTTTCTGTAGACTCTTAAGAGGTTTTTTTTTAAATTTCTATTTATTCTGTAGGCCCCTGAGAGGTTTTTTTTAATTTCTATTTTTACTGTAGGCCTCTGAGAGGTTTATTAATTTCTTTTGTTCTGTAGGCCCCTGAGAGGTGTATTAATTTCTATTTGTTCTTCGTCCCCTGAGAGGTTTATTAGTTTCTATTTGTTCTGTAGGCCCCTGAGAGGTTTTTTATTTCTATTTATTCTGTAGGCCCGAGTTTTATTTAATTCAATTTTTTCTGTAGACTCTGATTTTTATTTCTATTTATTCTGTAGGCCCCTGAGAGGTTTATTAATTTCTTTTGTTCTTTAGGCCCCTGAGAGGTTTATTAATTTCTTTTATTCTGTAGGCCCCTGAGAGGTTAATTTCTTTTTGTTCTGTAGGCCCCTGAGAGGTTTATGACGGACACCCTGAATGAACCAATTATGTTGACAAGGAACCTTATTTATTTATTTAAAGTCAGTTATTGTCATTTTAAAGAAGAGGAAAACTCAGAATAATTTTCAATTTGAGCAATATTAAAGATTTTTCAAAACGTTAGTAAATCAAACTATGGTTAGAGACAACAAAAAACGCTTACTTTTTTATGATTAAGTATCTTGAACCAAATGCGTTTTTATAATAATTTAAATTATCAACAGAAAGGTAATCATCTATGATTAGAATTGTGACCATTTAAAACTAGGGATGTATACGGGGAGGGTAGTGCCTCCCCCCCCTTTTCCTAGATATTACATTCTTCACTTTAAATTTCGTTAAATTCCTAGTTTTAATAAATAAGCTGATAATTAGATTCCCGGCCCATATTAAGGCCTTCTACATGCAGAAGTGCAAGGATGACAGGTAAGGAAAAGGGAAGGGGAGGGAGGAGAGGAATTTTTCTGTACGCTTNTGAATATTTATGAATTAGTCCACCAAATAACTGTACAGTTTATCTTGTAAAATTAAAAAAATGAAACCTTAGTTTTTATGCATTTAAATTTTTGAATATTTATGAATTAGCCACCAAATAGCAGCTGTACTGTTTATCTTGTAAAATTGAACAAAATGAAACCTTATTTTTTTATGCATTTTAAATTTTTGAATATTTATGAATTAGCCACTAAATAACTGTACAGTTTATCTTGTAAAATTAAACAAAAAAAAACTTGGTTTTTATGCATTTAAATAATTGAATATTTATGAATTAGCCACCAAATAGCTGCACAGTTTATCTTGCAAAATTAAACAAAATAAAACCTTAGTTTTCATGCATTTAAATTATTGAATATTTATGAATTAGTCCACCAAATAGCTGTACAGTTTATCTTGCAACATTTAACAAAATATAACCTTGGTTTTTATGCATTAAAATTATTGAATATTTATGAGTTAGTCCACCAAATAATTGTACAGTTTATCTTGCAAAATTTAACAAAATGAAACCTTGGTTTTTATGCATTTAAATTTTTGAATATTTATGAATTAGCCACCAAATAGCTGCACAGTTTATCTTGCAAAATTAAACAAAATAAAACCTTGGTTTTTATGCATTTTAAATTTTTGAATATTTATGATTAGTCCACTAAATAACTATATAGTTTATCTTGTAAAATTAAACAAATTAAAACCTTGGTTTTTTATGTATTTTATTGAATATTTATGATTAGTCCACCAAATGGCTGTATAGTATATCTTGCAAAATCAAACAAAATAAAATCTTGGTTTTTTATGCATTTTTAATTTTTGAATATTTATGAATTAGTCCACCAAATGGCTGTACAGTTTTAATGTTCATTGTCTCAAAGAATTTTTTTGTTCTCCTGAAACTTTTTTTTTGCGTCATAAAGTTGTATTTTGAATAATTTTATGAAGTAAAAAATTTCATTTGAAAAAATATTCAACCCTGCTAAGATTATCAGTATTAGATGTTGCAATGTCATTCTATAAATACCACTGGGCAGAAGGTTACGTTGCTATTTAGATGAGAATATTTTTATCTGAACATGTTTTAGAATTAAATGAACGAACTCGTTGCATTTTGATGTTGACTTGAAAACTTAGTATAAATTGTGAACACTGGGTTGAAGATGGATATCAAAATGTTCTGAATTGTTAACATTGTGCTTAGGATGTATATTGGATATCATCATGTCTATATTGTGAACGCTGTGTTAAGGATGGATATCATTATGTTCTGAATTGTGAACACTTTGTTAAGGATGGATATTATTATGTTCTAAATTGTAACGACCGTGTTGCGGATGGATATCATTATGTTCTAAATTGTGAACACTGTTAAGAATGGATAATATTATGTTCTAAATTATGAACACTGTGTTAAGAATAGATATCATAATGTTCTGAATTTTGAACATTTATAAGAATGGATATCATAATGTTATAAATTGTTAACATTGTGTTAAGAATAGATATCATAATGTAAAATGTTCTGAATTGTTAACACTGTGTTCAGGATGGATAATATGGAGGAACTGCTGGCAGCTTATAAAGAAGAAGGATTAGATCCTGCTCCCTACTACTGGTACACTGATCAGAGGAAGTTTGGTACTTGTGAGCATGGAGGTAAACCTATAGAACTGTGGAAAAGGAAGACGACTGTTAGTCATAAGTTTTGAATTTAAAGAGTCCAATAAACTTAAAACACAGGAATTGATCAGTGTTCGCAAACCTATTCAACTTGATAAGTTGGGCTTCATCATTTGTTTAATAACGTCAAATACTGTTAATACTGTCAAATACTGTCCGACAATCGTCTTTTCTATTTCTCAGAGATATGTTTTTCATCAATAATTCAATAATATCCATATGCATGCATTGAAATTTGTAAACTTTAGACGATAAAGAACAGAACATCATTTCGTCCTTGAAAACTAAAATTAAGCTCTGTCGAGAAGTTAGGATTGTTGGCGAGGAGCGCCAAACAAATGTTAGGATTTTTTTCTTGTTGAATTGAGAAAAAAAAAGATTTAAGGATAAAATATATTAATTATTAATTGGATAAAAGTATCATAAATGATGATAAAACTTGCTCTTTGATGTGCAATTTTCATTTTCCCCTCATATCTTCAAAAACTATCCCCCTCCCCCGGAATAGCTTTTAGATTTAAACACATTCTAATAAATTTTTCCGTCCATTCAGATTTTTAGTTTCCTGATAAAATTGACGTAGGATAGGGATTGGGTCTATAGAGGCACCTTTGCTGGATCCTGGATAGATATCCACCATAATTGTCTTTTATGCAGGATATGGATTAGGTCTAGAGAGATTCCTTTGTTGGATCCTGGATAGATATCCACCATAATTATCTTTATGCAGGATATGGATTAGGTCTAGAGAGGTTCCTTTGCTGGATCCTGGATAGATATCCACTATAATTGTCTTTATGCAGGATATGGATTAGGTCTAGAGAGATTCCTTTGTTGGATCCTGGATAGATATCCACCATAATTATCTTTATGTAGGATATGGATTAGGTCTAGNTTGGGGGGGGGGGGTTAATTATTTTCCTCCATCGCCTTTAATATATCCTCATTTGATAAAAATTCCCTATGTTGGATTGAACTGAATCTAAATCTGTATTTTTTAGGTTCATGGGAAGGTGCAAGCCTTAAAAGAGAAAACTCTGTGAACAGTCTGTAAACATGGTCAACTCTACCTTTGGATAGCTTTCTTCTTTGTTAGCCTTAACTTTGGTCAGTTATCCCTTGTGTTAGCTTTCCCTTTGGTTAGCTTTTCATTGGTTAGTTTTCACTTTGCTTGGCTTTTTATTGGTTAGCACATTGGTTAGCTTTCCTCTAAATTTGTTTTTTTCTATCCTAGCTACCGATATTTCAGAAAGAATGATATAAGATGAAAGGTGGTGTATATAAGGGTGTTAGAAGCCTGGTTTCTCAGATCCGGTCTCAACCCGAGATCCTTACTCCAACCATCCATAGGTAGTTCTTTTTTATAGTTGCGGTGTGCAGCCGTGTACACCGGTGTACAGTGGTGTACAGTAGTGTACAGTAGTGTACAGCGCTGTATAGCGGTACACAGCGGTGTAGCAGTTATCTCGAAACAGAGGTAATTTCTTAAAAGCTTTATCTGTATATCGTCCAATATGTGCAATTTTAAATTGATCCACCTTGCTTGATTTGATCCACCAGTTAACGTTAACCCGGGCAGGGTATGACCATCACATAATATTTTAGAGTAGTCGAACTAATCTGCATAAGATAGAGATCAATGTTTGATCCTGAGATTGTTAAACGAAAGTTCATACTTCAGATTAACTATTTTAAATGGGAAATAAAGTTTTCAGTATTTTAACATATTTTTGAATAAATTAAATTACTATACTAGCTTGTAGGCTTTTTATTTCTTTGGTTACTTTTTCCCTGAAGGTTATTCCTGTCTCATAATTAGTGATGTGCATTAAATAATTTATTTCCTGGTCCAAAAGTGGCATATTGTAAAATTGTTTTTTTCTAAACATGTGCTTTTATTACATGATGCCAAATTATGACCATGACGGATAACATATTCCAAAAAACGAACCGAAAACGAACTGAAAACGAACTGAAAACGAACTGAAAACGAACTAGAAACGAACTAGAAACGAACCAGAAACGAACCAGCAACGAACCAGAAACGAACCAACACGAACCAGAAAAGAACCAGAAACGAACCAAAAACGAGCCAGAAACGAACCAACATGAACCAGAAACGAACCAGAAATGAACCAAAAACGAACTTATCATAACGATCGTTTTTACTGCGAGGGTCAATAAAAGTAAACCATAATTAAAACAGTTGAAATCTCAAAAGTTTTATTACACGTTTTCAAAAACGTTACGAAACGACTTACAATACTACTCATTTGTTTATGTTTCCTGTATTTGTTTACGTTTTCTGTATTTGTTTATTTTTCTAAAGGTTTATGTTTTCTGTATTTATTTATGTTTCCTGTATTTGTTTATGTTTCTATATTTGTTTATGTTTCCTGTATTTGTTTATGTTTCTATATTTGTTTTTTTTCCTTTATTTTTTATGTTTCCTGTATTTATTATGTTTTCTGTATTTGTTCATGTTTTCTGTATGTTTTCTATATTTGTTTACGTTTTCTGTTTTTGTTTATATTTCTATATTTGTTTTTTTTCTGTATTTTTTATGTTTCCTGTATTTATTATGTTTCCTGTATTTGTTTATGTTTTCTGTATGTTATCTATATTTGTTTATGTTTTCTGTTTTCTATATTTGTTTTTTTCATGTATTTGTTTATGTTTCCTGTATTTGTTTATGTTTTCTGTATTTTTTATTATTTCTATATTTGTTATGTTTCCCGTATTTGTTTATGTTTTCTGTATTTGTTATTATTTCTATATTTGTTTATTTTTCCTGTATTTGTTTATGTTTTCTGTATTTGTTATTATTTCTATATTTGTTTTTGTTTCCTGTATTTTTTATGTTCCTGTATTTATTATGTTTTCTGTATTTGTTTGTTTCCTGTATTTGTTTATGTATCCTGTATTTGTTTATGTTTTCTGTATTTGTTATTATTTCTATATTTGTTTATGTTTCCTGTATTATTTATGTTGTCTGTATTTGTCTTGTATTTAGTGCGAGTCAGAATGCGTGGTATGGAGGTAAAGCTCCATCTGAACAATCCATGTACAGGTAAAAATTTTGCTTTAACATCATTAAAAATTTGAAAAGATGGTTTTTATTGTCAAATGTTAACTAAAACTTTTTAAAGCTTTACTAAAGTTTCGAGTTACTCAAGTTCAGCATTTTTTCTTTTTTTCTGTCATTTACTTTTATCAAATGATAATTTTTTCTCTACATCTTTGTTATTGTTATTGTTGTTCACATATTCTCCATCTTGATTTGAGAAGTATTCTCGACTTTTTCGAGATAATCTACCAGATTTTTCTGATCTAGTGATTAGCAGATAACTCGAATATAGGAAGACTATTTTTAGACTCAATTCATAACTTGATATTGTCCAATAAGCGTCACATACAGCAGATGTGCAGTGTAAACAGACCCTTTTTACAGTCTACTTTATTATTGATTTAATAAGCAAAACTTTTTGCTTTGTAACACCATCAAATACTCTTTAAGTATTGCTATAAAGTCGTCTTCTTATTTCAGACTTTTCTGGTTATCACTATAACTCCAAAGTTAAATATCATTTATGAGTTGTAAGTTTTAACTTTTTCGTACCGAGGGAGAAATGCTGGTGTCAAGAATTAAGGGAACGCTATGTTTTGATTGTTAAACTAAATACGGGAAAATAGTGCACATTTTATGGACCTGTGGGTGACATAAAAAAATTAAAATTATTTCCATATCGTCTTTATTACGTGATTTGCTAGAAAAAATAGTAATTTTAGAAGTTTTGGTCTGATCAATTTGTGACATTTCTGTCACTATTCGATAATTTCTTGACTTTCTAGGGTTAAACCAAAAATGGCCTTCCGGTGAGAAGGAGTCGAATAAAAACATTTAATTTATTAAGTAAACATGAGAAAAGAGAGTTTATGGCAGTATTTCCAGATTTGAACAGGGATCTTTCATTCTCCGTAATACCTGAGGTGAGATACGGGGATTAAATGGCAGGTTCTGAATGAGGATGGGGTATGGGATAGAGATAAGAAATGGGAATTAGGTTTGGGTACGGGATGGAAACAGATCAGATGGGAGGGGATGGAAACAGATCAGATGGGATTGGTTCAGAAAGTTTGGGATTATGAAACGAAAAGGGGAAATTGGTATGGGAACGGAAAAGATGGGGATTGAATAGGCTTAAATGGGAAGATAAAAAGAAGGCTCGAATGGGAAGATAAAAAGAAGGCTCAAATGGGAAGATAGATAGAATTTGATGATACTAAAAATAAAAAATGCAAAAATTTTTCTAGGATTTGAGACCTCTGTTGTCGAAACATTTAACTAAGTGTATCCAGTACAATGTACCAGATGGGAAGAAGAACCGAGGTTACTCAGTCCCAGCATCATTCAGATTACTCGCCAGCAAACAAGATCTAACAAGTGAAAATATCAGGTAAATTAAAGGGACTGTAAGCGTAATTTCAAGTGACATTCCATGCAAAAATGGAAATGTCCAATTTACATCGATACCCTTGAAACCTTAACCTGGCCAAAAATGTAGAAGATATCATTTCTTCATTGTTTCTTTTCAGCAAGAATTGCGCAGGACAAAAGCAGTGAATCCACAAATGAAAATAAACAATTTATAGAAACAAAAAAATGAATATCTAATTCACACTTGATCAGACAAAGCATTAAAGGGTACAGTTGTAAATCGGACATGGCCATCTTTGCTTGGAGGATCACTTAAAAGTGCCTGCAACAGTTCAAAATAGTATTCAAGTAATGATGCACTCTCCACTTAAAGAGTTGCATGTCCGATTCACAACGGTGTTCTTCAAATCTTATTCGAAGTAAAAATGATGGAGATATCGTCGTTCTTCAGTGTTTGTAGAGAAGACATATTATTTTAAATAATTAATTTTCAGTTAGACAAAAAAATCGATATCTTGTTCCTCCTTGATCAGATAAAGATGTATGATATCAAGGAGTATCCATACTCCTTGGATCAAATCAAATCAAATCATGAATGTTGGGGAAGCTTTAGGCTCCATTTCTCAACCTAGAGTTTCAATTCCTGAATGAGAAATGGGTTTTCAGCCCGGATATGAATTCAATTCTGACTTTTGCAATGTATCTAGTTAAAGGTTAAATTCCAATATTTGGTGACGAAATCCCAGCAACACGACCAAGTTTGAGCCATGCAACCATTTTTGGCACCCATTCTTTCATGGTTTGCTTTGTCTCTGCTATGCATTCCTGGAAATATATAGCAGAGTGGATGTTATCAAGAGCTAATGAATGCTATGGAGGATATTCATGCTACTCTTTAGATGAAGGGTCATTTAAAATTTCGTCTGCGGTCCCTTTAAACATCGGTTTCATAAAAAATTAGGTTAACATTCTCTTTAACTCACGAGATAATTTATCTGTATATTTAGGTTGGCGAATATCCTGGGATGGACAGTAGAGTTTCTACAGGCATTCTTCTTAGTTAGTGATGATATAATGGACCACAGTGATACCAGGAGGGGCAAGAAATGCTGGTCAGTTTAAGAGACTATTTCCAAGTCCTACTACGACAATTTTCTTAAATTCTTCAAATTTTCCTTTTTTGGCAAGTGTCAATGATAAAATTTTTCATTATAATTCGTTAAGAAATGGTGCATCTAGATTAGAACGTTTGGAGTTTTTTCACTGCTATGCACTTTAACCAAATCTTTCGAAACGTAGTTATACTTTTGGTAACGTAATTTAAAAAAAAAAAAACGACTTTTGGAAAATGTCAACCAAATTTATTTTATATACATGGGGATAAGGGTTCTCTTTCAGATTTGATAGATTTATTGGTTCATTGATTTATTGATTCATTAATTCATAGATAATAACACGATTTCTTATCTAGTCGGAACAAATGTGACACGGATGGTCCAAAATATTTTTTGCAATAAATATTGTATGTAAACATACATATCTCTATATATGAACAAGGATAAATACTGTTTGAATAAAAAAGGCTTTATAAGGGTAAACTATTAATATGATCCTGTCCTATCTAACGTTTAGGTATAAGCTGGATGGTATTGGGATGACTGCGTTCAATGACTCTATCCTCCTAGAAACCTGCGTATACTCGATACTCAAGAAATATTTCAGACACAAACCTTACTATCCGGTAAGTAACCCTGACATAAACCTTACTAATCAGTAAGTAACCCCTTACTTAATCCTTACTAACCACTAAGTAACCCAGACATAACCTCACTATCCGGAAAGTAACCCTGACATAAACCTTACGAAACATTAAGTAACCTGGACATAATCCTTACTATTCGGTATGTAACCCAGAGATTTAAAATTTTTGTGGCGAAAATGCGTTTTTGCGGTTTTTAAAAATATGCTTATCCTGGAAAAGATCATTGTTAAAGTTCTTACACAAATTGAGTTAAAAATTAACTAAAAATATCGTGGGTGGAAAAAATTGTGATTTTTTTACCAAATTTTATCCCGAAGAAATTTCTCCAGAATAAAGTTTGAATCTTTACCACCGAGGGAATTGAAACTTTCTGAATTTAGATTAGGGAAATTAAACTTGACTGCAATTGAATGGAAAAGGAAATTTGAGAAAAAAATACTCAGTTCGAATTCTGATTTAACAATTTTGTACGATACAGAAAATGACTAAAAAAAAATTTTAGATATTTTCTGAAATTTGCGTGCTAAATGTAGACTTGACCCGCCTTGAAGAGTGCCATATCCGATTCAAATCGATATTTTTTACATCTTTGTCCAAGCAAGGACGATGTAGATTGTATATATGTTTAAAGCTGAATATTAAGTTCCGGGAGACTCCAAAATACAGTTCCACTGTACATTTCCGGTTTCCGGCTATAGGGTGTCCCATAAAACATGACAGAAGCAGGACGGCTAGAAAGTCGTCTTTGTGATAAACTAATTTCTCATATACGATTCTTGAAATAATAACCACTATATTCTTCTAGTCCTGGGATTTCCCAAATGTGGTCTGCCTTTTTGTACTGTCAATATTACCGGAGTCATCAAGAATTTCCTTTAGATTTTAATTTTATTCAATAAAACCAAAAATGTCGAGATCCGATCAATATTCTTCAAATCTCCGGTAATATTAAAAGCGCCAAAAAGTCGGACCACATTTTGAAAATGCCTAGACTAGGGTTATTTTGTGAATGCCTAGAATTTTAATACTAAAATTAGTTTTTCTACTAAAAGACGCTAATTTAGTTTTAATATCAAAGACTACCTTCATTTTGTTTAGCTACTGTCATGTTTCATCGGACACCCTGTATAAGGAATAAAGTTGGAAATGAAACAAATGGACGGTCACTGAAAATTACGACTTTACCAAGAAAGCAAATTTTGATACGAGAAGGGGGGGGGCAGAGTTAACGATAACTATGAAGTAAATGGGGTTCATAATCACTTTATCAAAATAATTACTAATTAGGAATTGTTGGAACTGATGCATGAAACTACCCACAAAACAGCCATGGGTCAGGTAATTCCCTTTTTCGTTGAATGTATGTTATTTTTAATTCAGATTAAGTCCATTTTGATTTAAATCCGGTTCAAACAAATACTTTTCCCCGTTTTATCAATTTCTTGTTTTGTTTTACTCTGAGACTTGGTGCCATGAACACCTCCTGAAATACAATTCCTAGTTACAACTGCGGAAGAGACAAAGTCGGACCAAATATATAAAATCAAGAATTAAAACTTTTTTATATTCTGAAGTGCCGCATTGTGCACAAAATGGGGGGGTAATTACCCCACTCCACTAGAATCCTGGGGGNATCATGAAGATCAAGAAGATCAAGAAGATCAAGAAGATCAAGAAGATCAAGAAGATCATGAAAATCAAAAAGATCAAGAAGATCAAAAAGATCAATAAGATCAAAAAGATCAAGAAGATCAAAAAGATCAAAAAGATCAAAAAGATCAAGAAGATCAAGAACTTCAAGAAGATCAAGAAGATCACGAAGAAAAAGATCTTGAAGATCCAGGAAATGAGATCTCCATGACTTATTGTCATACCTAAGATCAGGATCATGACCCAGGTTTGTGTTGACCCAGTCAGAGAAGGCTAGCTGCTCTTCAAACCGTACAGAGTGGGTTGTACCTAAGTACATTATTATTATTTTTATTATTATTATTATTATTATTATTATTAACAACAATCAGCCTGTAGACAATCAAGTACCATGGCCTGTAGGTTAAAATACAATGAAAACAAGGTTGAGGTCCGCCACTTGCCCTGGTCTACATGGGATCCAGTGGTTCAGATCTGGCCTGACATTGTTTAGGATTCAGTGTGTAATTCAGAAATGCGTTGATACTATAAAAAGGAAAAATGCTACAGTAGCTTGATGATTTAAATTGTACAGTTTGCACTAGAAAAATACGCATATAATCCCTGTAAGAAAGATTTATATTTGTTCTTCAGGCTATTGTGACTTACAAGACGTCCTACTACTCCTTCTACCTACCAGTGGTGCTGTCGATGCGTATGGCGGGGGTTACTGATGAAAGCCTCTACACAATGGTGAGCAGTTTCTGCTCATATTTTTATTGATAATATTTTCTTCCAACGTTGATAATTTGATTTAGTGAAATAAACAACCATTATAAAAATACAAAAAATATCTATTTTAAAACTATTTTCAAGATTTGAATGTACTTTTTTAGGCTTCAAGAATTTTGTTAGAGATGGGTCATTTCTTCCAGGTAAATAAATTGATTTGAAACATTTTATTAGGTTTTGGAGTTTAAAAGGTCACCAAAAATTGAATGTTGAAAAATTTTTCTTTGTTATAAATATATCGAACTTTGAACCTGACAGAAACGTGAATTGATATTTGGCTTCTTTAAAATGATAACTGCATGGATCCAATATAACATATTTAAAATCTCGTACAATGCGTTCGTTTTTTTTCAATCGAATGGTGGAAACGAAAACAATTTTATTCAATTTTGATGGAATTTATCACACCTAATATTTCCCGTTGCAGGGTGAAAAATTGACTTTATCGCCCTGCAACGGGGCGAAAAAGTAACTTTTTCACCCTGGTATTAAAATTTTAAATTTCATACCTAATTTGTCTCATTGTAGGGTGATAAACATACTTAATCACCCTAAAACAGGGTGATTAAGTAACTTTATTGACCTGTTTTTAAATAATTTGAGTAAAACGGAATAAAACTATATATATATTATTGAAAAAATCAAATTCCCGGCAAAAACTTTTTCGCACTTAATAATACCCATGACAATGACATAAATAGATTTGAAATAGAGGCTCTGGTACTAGGTACAGACGCCACGCCGTGTATTATGTCTACTGGTAAATTTACAATTTGAACAACTAAGGTCCAAGATGACTATTTGGATTGCTTTGGCGACCCTGAGGTGACCGGGAAGCTAGGAACAGATATACAGGTAGAGGATTAATAATATTTTGTACAGTGTTCGCTTTAGCTGTATCTCTTATCTGTATCTCACTTAGTTAAATTGTATTTTATTGTATACTACTGTATTCTAAGGTACTCCACTGTATTAATTTGAATGAAACTTTAATTTATTATAATCTTCTGTATCCATTTGCATTGGATTGTATTACACTGTATTTAATTTAGTCTACTGGATTAAGTGGATTTACTATATTTTTCTACTGTATAATACTGTTTTCTTTTGTAATGTCCTACATTCTACTGTATTATTGTATTATAACTGTATTCAACCCCCCTACACAACCCTTATTTATGCCCTTGGGGCCGAGCTAAAGGCTAGAGACCGATTGCTTTTTATGAGTTTGTAATTGCACTTTAAGAGTTCTGTTCAGGTGCTTGGCACGGTGCCCTTGGGGATCCAAATCCCAGGAACTCATTTTCCTTAAAACTTAATTTTTGTTTTCGGTTTGCTTACTTTTGTTTTAAAGGTATTGTCAAAGAGTAGAATATGGGGCCCGGCATAGGCTGAATTTGAATCGAGCCGCGCCATTCCCATTTCAAATAGGTCTGAGATAAAAACAAAATTGTTAGCGATCGATAATCTGTATTCTGCTTCTTTTTCCATTTTCATCAGTAGTCCCTTTAAAGTTAACACCCAGTTTTTACAATATTGTCTAGGCTCTAGATTTACTCTCAGCGGAGACCTTCAATCATCTGAAAGGGAAGGAAGGATGTTTAGATCATTTTACCATGGAGAGATACAAGGTAACAATTCAGGGTTCTATATTCTTGCAAAATAATGTTAGGGAAATCAAATGAAAAAAGATATATTAACAATTCATTGGTGATTTATTTCTTCAAATTTTACATCTGGTTGTTCTTCAGATATTTTTGTTTTTTATTTATTTATTTATTTTAGTTGTCTGTTGTCTTTTAGCAATTGGGACAAGAAAATATTATTATTATTATTAGCAACAATCAGCCTGTAGACAATCAAGTACAATGGTCTGTAGGTTAATATACAATGAAAAAGCCTACCTTTTTTGTCGTCTTTTTGAATTAAAAAGTTCTGGTNTCTTATCTGTATCTCACTTAGTTAAATTGTATTTTATTGTATACTACTGTATTCTAAGGTACTCCACTGTATTAATTTGAATGAAACTTTAATTTATTATAATCTTCTGTATCCATTTGCATTGGATTGTATTACACTGTATTTAATTTAGTCTACTGGATTAAGTGGATTTACTATATTTTTCTACTGTATAATACTGTTTTCTTTTGTAATGTCCTACATTCTACTGTATTATTTAACTGTATTCAACTGTATTCAACTGTATTCAACTGGGTTCAACTGGGTTCAACTGGGTTCAACTGGGTTCAACTGGGTTCAACTGGGTTCAACTGGGTTCAACTGGGTTCAACTGTATTCAACTGGGTTCAACTGGGTTCAACTGTAGTCAACTGTAGTCAACTCTATTCAACTCTATTCAACTCTATTTAACTCTATTCAACTCTATTCAACTCTATTCCATTGTTTTCAACTGAATTCCACCGTATTCAATAATCATATTCAATTTATACTTGATTAGACAGGGCTTTCAAGGATGGCGTTGTAAATCTGCTTTGCCATCATTCATGGAGGGTCACTTGAAATTACGCTTACAGTCCCTTTAACAGGATTTTATCTGGATTCAGTTGAATAAATTAAGGATGGTAAATGCTCCTGGTTGATCACTGTAGCAATGCAAAGAGCTGGTTCAGAGAATAAGAGGGAACTAGCACTCAAGTAAATACATTTTTATTAGTTGTCTTTTAAACCACCCATTGAGCAAAAATCATTTAAAAGCTGTAAGCCTTGTTTAATCTTGATCTAGTAAAGTCATTTAAAAAGTTACATTTTTTCAAAATTTTAACCGCGTTGCAGAATTTGTTTATATTGTTTGTTTTTTTTTACTTTTTTAACCACTGAAAAAAAAACGTATTTTTGGGTGGAGAGAAAATTTGATCATCATTTTATGTACTTTATTCAATGTGCTTCATAAACCCTAATATTTTTCTCCCTGATTTTTTTGATCCATAACTATATGTAAAACTGAATTCTAGAAAACTGTTTACAACAAAAAAGATTTTAATGCATGTGACTCAATCTTCATTTATTTTGGCGATGGTCAAAATAAATATTTTCAAATGGATTATCAAGTACAATAGGTGGCAACAGAGAAATGGGCCAATTATACACAACGTCATATGTGTCAAATATAACAAGGAAAATGAAATTTTCTCACATCAGTTGATGCGTTTTTCAAGATTAAAAAAAGTGTAAACACAGAAAATAAAGAACACATAAAATTGCATTTATTTTACTGTAAGATAAGCACTTTATTATCACTGTTATTAATAATTTTATCGGACACAAAAACAGAGTTGACACTTGTGACGTCAGAATACAGTTGTACTGAGAGTGTTACAAATTCTACGTTGCCATCTATTGTACTAGAATCTATTTGAATAGCAAACATACCAGTTATCAAGCATGCAATTTTGAAATAGTAAATTTCAGATTCTGGTAGAGTCTCCTAGAAGTCTAATTTATTATCTCAAGACGATGCCCAAAATTTATTTTATATAATAACTAACTAATTAGTTGAGCGATAGATATAGAGCTAACTGTTCCTTTTTTCTGGTAAAAAAATAGCGTGACTACAGGCTATCACAGAGGGGGGGGGGCTATGACAGCTAAGCCCCCCTGAATCAGTGAAATTTATAGTTTTAATTTAACAAATTTTAAATATTTATAGATATGGGAGTTCTCTTCCTGAAGATGTTGCCTGGGTCAAGAACCTGTATAACGAATTATGGATTCCGAAGTAATAAATTAATTATTTGATTTTCTAGAAAACATGTCGTCTTCATTCTCATTCAAGGTTTAAAGCTTCTAATCATAGAGAAAGGAGACGAAGAGGTAAAGCTCACCTCAGACGTAAATTAATAGGGTCGTCGGTTGTGTACATCACGTATCTAACACTGTAAACTTGTATAAGGAGTGATTGTATTTCTAGGGGGATTTTATTTAATTACGCACACTGATTAGGAATTTTGAAAAAACTCGCAATTTTTCGTGCATTTTCTCGCGAAGCTATATTCTATCAATCTTGTCTTAACATAAACAAACAACTGAACTGGAATGTACTGCAGCAGTATACAATCCTATGTTGACAATCCATATTAAGTATCTAACTAACTATCTACACAAATATACAAATATTTACATTTAACCACCCCCAAGAATTTGATTACTCTATATACAAGTGTACACTGTACAGGGTTAGATCGTAAACATATCGAGATGTACCACCCTATTAATTAATTAATAGGGTGGTCGTTGTGTACTTCTGAGGTAAACTTTACCTCTTCTCCTTTCTCTATGCTTCTAATCAAAAATGATTTCGTTTAATTATTACACTGTGTACACTGTGTACATTAATTTTATATTATAATATAAAAATGTATTTATTATTGTTATGGCATTGTATGAAATCATTCAAACCATTCCTTTAATACATCGAACTTTTTTTCAAGCAAATTCAAAATTGTTCACAAACTGGGGTCATATATCTTCTCAAACATAACAACGGGTTCTGATTGGCTCATTCTTGTTTACGTTTATTGGACATAAACAAACAGAAATGCCAAGATGTACAATTTACATTGTACATTAATTGTATATTGTATGCTAAGTTTATGATAATGTACATGGTGTATACTAATTTTATTAATATGAACAGCCTGTACAGTAAGTATTATTACGTACAGTGTGTACAGTAAGTTTATTATTATGTACAGTGTGTACAGTAAGTATAGTTATTATGTACATGGTGTACAGTAAGTTTTATTATTATGTACAGTGTGTACAGTAAGTTTTATTATTATGTTCATGGTTTAACAGTAAGGTTTATTATTATGTACAGTGTGTTCAGTAACTATTATTATTATGTACAGGGTGAACAGTAAGTTTTCTTATTATGTACAGGGTGTACAGTAAGTTTATTATTATGTACAGGGTGTACAGTAAGTTTGAAGAGGAGTTCCATGAAGATATTCTCGATCATATTCAGAAGATCCATGGAGAAACTCTCCCACAAGCGGTTAGTTAATAGTTATATCATTACAATGGTTTCAGATAAAAATATTCTTTCTACGTTAATTTCTTCTGTAAATATTTTTGAACTTTTCGACTTTTTTGTCTGTTTTTGCCTTTTTGCTATTTTATCTTCCCTTTTATTCGTCACCCTAATCTCATCTCAATAGAAGCTAGCCGGTCATGGTATGCAAATAACTAGTACGATACGAACCGGCTCCTGGTTTTTTTCTTACGCCTGAGTTGTTTGAAGATCTCTTTTTTTCTTTAATCTATAGCTCTAGAAAAAGGAGTTCAGTTTCAAAGAAACAAATTAAACTTAGGTTAAATGTCTTTCATAATGGTTCAACATTTACATTGAGGGGGGGTCAATGTTTTCAATTAATACCTCCTTTCTGTTTTTTCTTCCATTCAGGGGGGGGGGGTCAATGTTTTCATTTAATACCTCCCGTCTGTTTTTTCTTCCATTCAGGGGGGGGGGGTCAATGTTTTCAATAAATACCTCCCTTCTGTTTTTTTCTTCCATTCAGAAATATGAGGAAAAAATTTGTTTCAGGTGTTCCACAGATTCCTGGACCGTATTTACAAACGAACCAAGTAAACAAATCTCGTGTGTAAAATTGTATTTATTTTATGTCTGATGCTCAAAATGTTGAACCGGGGGTATTTATTTTTTTTGAAATAATTTTCGATGCGCGTGGGTGGAGGGAATACAAATTGTTTAAGCATATGAATACTTATTTTTAAAAAGCTATTTTATATTTTCCCAAAAATCATTTTTTACAAATCCCTTGAATAAAGTATTAAATAATGTTTTCGTGCACGTCGTAAGGGGGGGGGGGGTAATTTTTATTTAAAAAATACCCCTGATTATGTTCCGATAAGTGTTTCTGCTGTTAGTTTTTGTAAGATGTTCTCTTTTTAAAAGTTTATTTTCGTGTTTGATAACAAAATTTAATTTTACCGATGATGAGATTTAAATGTATTTTATTCAGTATTATTTTACAATATATATTTGATATAGTATTTTACATAAATAGAACTAAATTCAAATGAGAGAGATGTTTTATTAAAGACAAACTAAAGAAAAAGGGTGTATTCAGGGGCGTATTAAGGGGGGGCTATGGGGGCTAAGCCCCCTCCCTGGAACAGTGAAATCTATGGATTTCAGGGGGTTTTCAGGCCCCAAGGGGTGCTGAGCCCCCACTGGAAAGATATAAAGGTTAAGCCCCCCCCCCTGGACAAATTTCTGAATACGCCCCTGGGTGTATTATTTGTAATCCTAGTTGAATAGGGTACATTTTATTCAGAGCAGAATCCCAGATTATTTAAAAACTAAATAGTGCACAGCGAGGGAGGGAACCCCCGGATGCCATGAGCCTCCGCTATGAAGTCACAAGCCTCCCAGATTTGCTAGGCTGACCGAGCCTCCGCTATGCAGTAAACGAGCCTCCATCATACAGCACAGCTTTTTTGATATCTTGGTTTTTTTTACGAACAATTTTAACCATTTTGATGTAATGGCATAAGAATTATACTAAAAATTAGAGTTATTTATTGATTGTCATGATTAGAAACATATATGGACTCATTTGTTTGTAAGATAATTACACTAAAACTTCAGCATTTCTTACGCAGAAAGGAAGCTTTTCTGGAGAAATATTTATGGAGTAAACTTAGCTTGTTTTGTTGTAATCTTTGATTTAAACAATACCTCTTTTTGAAAAAAATTTTAAAGTTTAAATAAATGATACAAATTTTCTAGATTAAATTTTAACTACAAAAAAGGTATTGCTTAAATCAACGATTTTGAAAGATGAAATTCAATTCATCTTCATTTCCTCCAAATATTTTCCTTTTCGTGTAAAAATCTTAAAAGTTCTATAAACCACTTTATTAGTAATAATTAGGCATTATTTATTTGTTCAAGTAGGTAATGGAGAGAAGGTATTGTGTTCAAGTAGGTAATGTAGTGAAGGTATTGTGTTCAAGTAGGTTATGTAGTGAAGGTATTGTGTTCAAGTATGTAATGTAGTGAAGGTATTGTGTTCAAGTAGGTAATGTAGTGAAGGTATTGTGTTCAAGTAGGTAATGTAGTGAAGGTATTGTGTTCAAGTAGGTAATGTAGTGAAGGTATTGTGTTCAAGTAGTTAATGGAGTAAAGTTATTGTGTTCAAGTAGGTAATGTAGTGGAGGTATTGTGTTCAAGTAGGAAATGGAGAGAAGGTATTGTGTTCAAGTAGGTAATGAAGTGAAGGTATTGTGTTCAAGCAGGTAATGGAGTAAAGTTATTGTGTTCAAGTAGGTAATGTAGTGGAGGTATTGTGTTCAAGTAAGTAATGTAGTGAAGGTATTGTGTTCAAGTAGGTAATGTAGTGAAGGTATTGTGTTCAAGTAGGTAATGTAGTGAAGGTATTGTGTTCAAGTAGGTAATGTAGTGAAGGTATTGTGTTTAAGTAGGTAATGTAGTGAAGGTATTGTGTTCAAGTAGGTAATGTAGTGAAGGATGATGGATCTAAGATCTAGAGAGAAAAGAATGATAAGATAGAACTAAACATTTTCCTTTACACTATCCCTCCATACATCTTACAGGGTCAGGGCTCAGGGGCCACACTTGAAAAAAACCTATAATTTTGTTCTAAATATCGACCGTACTTACCGAAATCATTTCTAACAAATTATTCAAAATTACACACAGAAAGTGAGGAGTTAAAAAAATATGAGGTTTACCGAACATTGTGCAATAATTTAAAAATTCTCTGTGTAAGTTCCTCTCTTCAGTATACACCCCTGTGTCTGTATTCCATCTTCTTTTTTTATCGAGGATTAATCTTGGCATTTTCTATTCAACCAAAACTATTACAACTATCCAAGTAAATAAGTATACAGGGTTTATATTCAATCTAAACTATATTCAAGTATATAAGTACAGAGTGTTTATATTCAATCTAAACTAAATTCAAGTATATAAGTACAGGGTTTATATTCTATCTAAACTATATTCAAGTATATAAGTACAGTGTTTTTATTCAATCTAAACTATATTCAATTATATAAGTATACAGGGTTTATATTCATTCTAAACTATATTCAAGTATATAAGTACAGGGTTTATATTCAATCTAAACTATATTCAAGTATATAAGTACTAGAAATTCAAGGCGCTTCGCGCCCTTCTTTCTAGCCTTAGAGGGCGCTTCGCGCCCATCTTCTAAATTAATTGTGAACATGTTCTCTTTGTGTACATCGTAAAACAAAACAAAAATAATTCGTGGATTTTCACAAAAAATTTCGTGGATTTTCAAAATTTTAAAAAATTTAATGAAGATCGAATTTTGATGGAGACAAATATTTAAAATTTCAATCATTCATAAACCTTCCCTGGGGTCCCTTGATGTCCCACAAAAAAATTTGGGCCCGATCGGTTCAGCTGTTTTGACGTTTATTGGATACAGACAAACAGACAAACAAGCCAAATTTATATATAGATACAGGGTTTATATTCATTCTAAACTATTTTCAAGTTTATAAGTATACAGGGTTTTCTATTCATTCTAAACTATATTCAAGTATATAAGTACAGGGTTTCTATTCATTCTAAACTATATATTCAAGTATATAAGTACGTATAAAATGATAATTTCATTATTGATATTATTTCAATTAACGACAAGAATGCAGTAAAAAATTATAGTTAACAACGTATCTGCATCTTTTTAAAAAAAATTAATTTTGAAAAAAATAATGATTTTTGACGGCGAAAAAATTGATTTTTGAAGAAGTAATCATTGATTTTTGAAAAAGATAAATGATTTTTAAAAAATATTTGATTTTTAAATCCTATTTTATCCCCAGAGTACCCATGGGTTCACTAAAAAATGTTAGCCAATTTTGGTCCAGCCGTTTGGCCAGCTATAGCTATAGCCTAAATTATCAACCAACTCGATTTTTAAAAATGTTTCGTAAAACTGTTTTGAAAACTAGTTTTTTAAAAACTTTTTGGTTCTTTATATAAAAAATATAAAAATTGGATGTGTTAAAAAAACAAAACAAAAAACCTTGAATGTATAAAGATTGGATTTGTTAAAAAAAAAACAAGAAAAAACCTTGAATGTATAAAAATTGGATTTGTCAAAAAAACAAAACAAAAAATCTTGAATGTATAAAAATTGGATTTGTCAAAAAAACAAAAATAATCTTAAATGTATAAAAATTGGATGTATTAATAAACAAGAAAAAACTTTGAATGAATTTAAATTGGATGTGTTAAAAAACCATAATAACCTTGAATGTATAAAAATAGAATGTGTTAAAAAGAAAAAAACCTTGAATGTATAAATATTGGATGTGTTAAAAAGAAGAAAAAACCTTGAATGTATAAAAATTGGATGTGTTAAATACAAGAAAAAACCTTGAATGTATAAAAATTGGACCTCCAATGATGTTCATTCCTTTTTTAATCTGTTATTACTTTTAAAATTATGAGTTTTTTAATTACAAAGCATTGTTCCGTTAGTTTTTATCCAATTGGTTCTTTGCGTAAACTTGCGGTTTTTTGGTCTGTCTTTTATGTGAAGAAGGAAGTGACGGTATTAAAACTTTAATTTAAAGTTTAACGCTATTTGAATGTTTATTTTGATAGTAGTTGCTAATTATTAGATTGTTTATCTGTCTAACTTTGAATTTTTAAACTGTATACAGATAAACATTAACTTTGTACCAGCTGTAAACATTACAATGCAAAATAAGAAAAGTGCTTAATGGGACTGTAGGCATAATTCAAGCCTACTGTCCGTATTTTACGTCAATTTCCAAACCATTTTAGAGAAAAAAACATACCGATATTTTCTGTCCTTGTTGTAAATCGGACTTCATCCGTTGTATATTGAGGATTACTTCTTATTCATTCCTTTTAATTATTTCTAAAAAGAAAGAATAAATGTTAGAAAAATTTGTTAACACAATGCATGTAGTCTAATTTATTTTGTGTTTCCAAAAAATAACATTATGTAATCTCGTTTAGTGAAGTTTTTTACGATTAAGAGGCGAAAACACTCCTGTATGCCGAGTCCATTAGCGCCTGATGCAATCAGGGTTCAGCCATGTCTTTGGTGTCTATTCTGAACCAATAGAAATAGTATGGCGGTAACATCTATCTTTCTATCTTGCTCATTATCCAATGAATCCTATAATCAGCTCTATTAGTAAATGGAAATATTTACTACTATTGAAACTATGAGATAGAATTGATAGAGATATTTCTCATAGCTTCAGATTGCTATGAAAGTTACATTAATTTTCAATACAGAGCCATGGCTTTAAAGTGTTGCAACGTTTTGGCATTTGATTTACTTCATTAACTATTATTTTTTCTACACCTATATATATATATATACGTATTATCTATATAATAATACTGCTCTTTGCTCATCATATACAGAGCGTCCCATATCATATTAGATTATCTCCAATCTTTAACACCAAAATAAACCCTTAATACTCGAAAAACTTATCATTTTCCGCAAGAAAATTCTTATATAAGCCTTATGTTATTTTTCAAAATGATTCATTCTAATGAAATTTTCTAATTAGTCCCGAAAATCGTAATTTAGACCCGTTCTCGGTCTAATATGATTTGGGACAACCTGTATATATGCTGGCTAAATGGATGGACCAAATTAGCTGACTAATATTTTGAGGCAACCTATCTTATGACATATGTGAAAAAAATATTTCTATTATAGAACTTGTTTCTAGCTTTGGGTATTTCAGAAGTACTTGATAAAATTACCATAGATTTTTGCGTTAA